GTGTGGCTACAAGAGAATTTCTATCCTGACTTTGCAAGGTTCCTTTTTTTTTTTTTTTTGCTGAGTCCCTTTACTGACTGCCCATCATCGTGATGTCAGAGAGGACTTAAATTTCTCCCTGTCGCTTTTCTAGTTTATTTATCTCTAGTGACCATGCCTGGGTTTCTAAAGAGAGGAATAATCTTTCTTACCGTGCTCAATACGAGAGGAAGCGACCCGAGGAGTGTGAGCTGTCTTTCCTGTTCTTGATGCTGTACCGACCTAGGAAGGTGGCAAACTCTGAGGCCGCTGGAGCAGGAATGCATTGGCGAACAGAACGCATCGCTTAAGTGGCATCCAGAGAGGAAGCAAACGAGAGGGCGGAGACTGCCGGCAGCCTCAGCCCGCCTGCAAACCTGAAAACGTGGGCTTTTTTTTTTTTTTTTTAGAGCAGTAAAACTTGAAATAAGTGTCAGGGAATACGAGTGTATCTTTTAATGTCTAAATCACTAGTTGAATGATGTTAGATCTTTTGAAGTTGGAGTTCTGGCTCTTCAAAGCTATTACCTCTTTCAGAAGTTACTTTTAGGCATGAGACTTTCTACTCACACTTCAGCACAAAACTTTTTTCTTCCTATCTAACAATGCGAAATAATTAGTCCTATTAGAGGAATTTCTGTAATGTAACCAGAGCACCTAAAATGCAACTTTGAAAAAGCAGAGTAAAAACGTCACAGTCCTAAAAATCATTAGCAAAAATTTTCTTAAGACAATTTTTTCTTAAACACGTTTTAAATTGTATCACCTTGCTAGCAAGCGGATTAGCAAGGTGACTTGCTTTTGTGTTTCCCTTTTGCCACAGGAAACAGTATGAAAAAAAGAGGCAAGAAACAAAATGTTTACTTTTTTTTTCATTTTTCATATATTTTTAAAATAATATTTTATTTTTACATCATTTTGTGCCTTTTCCCATCTCAGTTGTAATCCCCATGGGCTTTCCATCACCAAATCACCCGTGTGCCATCACGGTCCAGTGTACTTCCCCCCCAACCCCCCATTTTTGATCCCATAAAATGTCTCTGGTATATAGTTGTTCATTATATTACTACTTTCCCCTCTGGTCCTTTACTTTACCTTTTCTTTATGGCTTATTTCCCTAAGCATTATCCCTTTCAGTTCCATCCATGTTGCTGCAAAAGGCATGTGCTTATCTTTTTTGATTGCAAAATGTTTACTTTTACTGCTTGGGTTTTTGGTTTTGTTTAACAAGATAGGGCTTTCACTTTATAAGCTCATACAAACATCTTGTCGCAGCACTGATTACAAAGATAGTCTGTGGCAGGATGGCAGGGAGGTGTGGTGCTTTACCAGAAGAAGGGAAAATAGCACCTTAAAGCGGTTTATGACATGTTTGAAACTGATGTAGCAAGTTTTGATCCTCCAGCTACAGCGTTCAATTGAAAACATGGACTCAAAGGCTGATCTGAGGCAGCACACCCAAAAAGTTAATTTGAAAAGGTTCATTGTCAAATTTTTCCCCCTTCATCTGCAAATAGGTAGAATGTATAGTTCACCCGCTCTTAGTTTTGAAGCATTTACTTTTTTCCTTGTCCTGTTCTTTTCCTTATCTCCAAGCCTGCCTACTTCTTGGAGTAGTTTTTGAAAGCAAGACGAGGTGATGACAGACCTTTGGATATTTTAAAGCACTTCACAACTCTAATCCTCCATGCTCTTGCACTTTTTACTTGCTGAGTTTGTAGGATGGAGATAAGATTTTAAAAGTCAAACAAATGTCATTGGTGGTCTCAATCTGATATATTAGGGGGATTTAGTTTCATAGAAATATTTTAAATACTAGGTAAGTGTTCACCTATTATACAATGCTGGGAGAGGAATTAGAAAAGTATTTCCCAGACTCTTGGATTTAAGGGCTGTCAAAAAATGATGATGACGATGATGAAGAGATAAACATTAGGTGGATAACTTTATATTTAACCAAGTAGGGGCAATGATAATCTAAAAATCTTTGTTTCATTTCATGGAAATTTTAAGCCAAGAAGTCGGGAGGAACACAATTTCATGACAAAACACAACTCTCTGCCTTTATGAAAAAAGCATTCTTTTTCCTCATTTTTTTCCCCTCATTTTTGCAGAAAGGAGGAAGATTTCATCACAGACTGCGATCAGATCTCAGTGATTAGGTTCCTTTAAAGACTGTCAATTATTGCATCACAAGCACCTAGTTTTATTAAGTGACTCCATTTCACAATATTAGCGAATCAACTTAAACTAGGTGCTGATTTTCTAGGCACTAATTTAAAAAGCAGTCGACATTTTTCACAGCCAATAAACACAAGCAACTTATCATTTAACAATGTGAAAAATAGTAATATTTACATGTTAAATATAATTTGCTAAGTTGTAAGACTGTGTACTTGAATTTATGGAGGGATGTTATTGACCTTTGTTTTATGAGGTGATATGCCTTTTATCTTCCCCCATCGATTAACTGGGCATACCTTTAGAATGTCAGTCTTTGCAACTGCAGGTCAAAGTCGCGAGGTTAGAGCACTCAGTGACACTCAACACATGTTTGTGAACATAGACGCTGCCCTGTAAGTCATCTAAACTTAAGAATTTTCTAGAAGGGCATGATTCCGAAAGTCTGCAACAATGGAAAGGAGGTGAATGAAAAGCTCTGGATTTGGAAGGCCCGCTTCCGGCAGGGGGAAATGAGGTTTAAACTTTTCCTTTAAATAGACCATGTAGTCTAGGATGTAATCTTTGCTTAAAAGAGGTACTATTTTGTGTTGCTTTACTGAGATGCCAAGTTTTAGGGCCACACTCTCGTCTTGCCCCTATAATTCTTCCCGTTCTTGTGAAAGCAATCTCAGAATTCCTCCTTCTTCCCCAAACATGAGAAGGCGGGGAAAAATTGTTCCGTGGAGATTCCCAGTCAGGTGCACGAAGCTGATGAGAACCATTCCCTAGGAGCGCGGGAAGGTTCCGGGCGGGCTTCTAGAAGGCTCTGGGGGAGCTTCTGGAAGGCAGCCGTCACGTCACGTGGCTCGCGCGCTGCCTGCTGGGAGCACCCTCAGCGTCTGCGCACAAGCGCACAAGCGCGCGATTGCTCCCCTCATTCCCAGGCGCTCACTGGCGAGCACCGTCACGAAGACACCGCGGAGCAGCTAGATTTTGGGGAGGTGTTGGCGGTAGGGGCGCCGCGAGAGTATCAGTGGGTTGGAAGCTAGTCGGCCAGAAGGGGAAAGAGTCCTCCTTCGAGGGCCTTTAGTTGGGCGTGGGGAGGGGGCATAAAGCGAGGGGTAGGTGGGAAATGGGGGCAGGTTAAATGGCCTGGGGGGCCAAGGCGGAATTGTGAAGGAACTAACTGACTGGAAGACAAAGGTTGCCTGAGGCCGGGCGTAGGAATAACTGACTGGAAGACAAAGGTTGCCTGAGGCCGGGCGTCGGGCTTGGTTGTGGTCAGTGGCCAGTGCCTCAGTGGCCGCCATGGGTGTGAGAAACAGGACGTGGCTGCGCTCGCGACTGACCGGGCCTGACAGGATGGGGCTGAGGCCCTCGGTGGAGCTAGAAAATTTTCACAGGCAGAGTTAGCCAATTAGAGACTTTTTTTTTTTATTTATCTGACCCACACGCACATTTGGTGACTGAGAGATTAGAAAAGCTGTGGGAAAGGGAAAGGGAAGAGAAAAAGGGAAGAGAAAGAACGTCGCAGCGTCGGTTTCTCTGAAACATTTGCCCACGCTCCTCGGCGGGTTCACTGCTGTGCACGGGAGGTGCCTTCTGTGCAGCCCTAGTGTAGGGTGCGGTGGGGATGACCCCCACGAACACGGCGGTGGTTTGTGGCGGCTGTTTTTCTGAAATTTGTGAGAGCGGCCAACGGGGTGGATCTGCGGAGTCCACCAGGTGATAGCGAAGTTGCTCTAGAAGCCAAGGAAAGTGACGGGTGCGCAGACAGGGCCCCTCGTCTCTCCAGGGTTCCAGGGTTCAGCAGTTTTCTTTAAGTTTAATTTTCAGGCTCCTGGGGGAAAATCGGCCAGGATTTACTGGGAAGTAATTTAAAGGTCAGAGTTGGCTCCGGGAAACGAAGAGGAGAAAGCGATCGGGCACTGGTGTAGCTTAGCCTTACTTGTTTTGTTGCTGCGTGGTCGTCCACCTCTCTTCTGGTTTCACCTTTCGGGAAAGTGAGCTTGAGTGAGGTGAACGGGAACATTGATTTCCAATTAAGACTGCTGAAAGGGGAAGACTTTAAGATGCAGCTGGAAATAAGACTTAAGTGCCCGAGACGAGACTGGCTGACGGTTCGGAGAGGGGTAGTTGAAGATTCCGGAGCGGTAGATGGAGATGTAGGGTTTGGGCCCTACCATGGAGCTTGATTTTATTCAGGAGCAATGAATATTCAAAGGGAGGTTTTTGACATAAGGGAATGCAGTAATTAGCGCACTGAAGGATTACCCAGCCCACGGGATGGTGGGTCAATGAGGGGGCATTCTGTAGTTTACATAAAGGACAGTTAATGGTAACCTGAATTAAGAGTGCCAGGACTAGTGGAAAGAAAGAGAAGAATTCAGAACTGTGTGTAGTTTGCATCTGACTTAAACATTGCTCTGGATTTTGCAGCTCTTGCCTCCATAATATGTCAAGTTACTTTGTAAAGTCTGATGCTAGAAATTGCAAGAGACCAAGAGAATCGGAGGTAATCGATATGCTCTTGCAGCCTGAATCTTTTATTCTATTTTATTTTGACATGCTTACTTTTGATTAATGGAGTTTAATGTTTTTATATTCCCAGAACGGGTAATGTCCCAGCAGGAATTAAATTGCCTTCTAATACTTTTTACTAAGTGAAGGCCTTCCAGAAACTGTTGGGAGATCGCTTTATGGTAATATGTGGTCTGAGACAAAAGTGGGTCTTTGTAATACATTCTTAGAATAATTATCTTGCTGTATTTGACAAATGCAGTAGGTAGGTATAAGGCTGCTGGTTTATTTTCGGAAAAGCATTGATTGTATTTTTTTTCATTACTACTTCCACCAGCTGATCTGTTTGCATTTGGGGCTTTATTTGTTCTCTAATGGATTACCTTATCTTACACAATTTTGTGGGTGTGTGGCTCTTGTTCAAAAACGAAAGTTTTGCCCTATTGCTATGGGCACATCTAGTAGTTTAAGAGACAGGAAACTTTTTCAAGATCTAATTTAAAACCAAAATAAAATTTAGTATGTTTGACTGGTGCTCGTGTGCCAAAAACTTCCCTTGATAATTACAGAATTTCTAATAACTAATCAGGACGTTAGATATCACCAGTTCATTCATCATTGTTTTGTTATAAACCTAAGAGGAGAAAATCCCAAACCCAGGAAGATATAATTCCTAGCTTGTTTGCCTTTTTAAAAAAGTAATGTGTATGTCCTAAAGGCGCTTGTTTACTGTTTACCTATATTCCTTACTTTCTTCTATTATTAGCCTCACATGCCAGATAGTCCACAGCAGTCTTCTCTTGGGAAGTCAGATTCCTTTCGCCCTGGACTATTTTTTAAAGATGAAACCCTAGATAAAGATTTAAATGGTGATGTATAAAATGCTCTATTTTCTCAACATTAATTTTATGATACAGAAAGCTTGTTACAGTTACATAATTGTCTCATTGATTTCTTTTCAACAGAATCGAGCAAGGAAATTAGTTTAATGCTGGTTGCTTATGCAAAGATCTTAAGGCAAGTGTTTATGATGTAGTCCCTTGAGTCTTTTAGAAAAAGTTTTCGTCTTGAATTTCTGTAATAGGAAGTTCAGTTTAGTGGCTGTAAAACCTATCCAGTAATTACAATTTTGGAGTTTTTTATTCTATTTTTAAAAAATAGTTATTTTCAAAGAGTAACCCAAATTTTTCCACTAAATATCCTTTACCTCCAGAGTTAATAGTAGGCCAAATCTACCTTGGTCTCCAATTTAGATGATGTAACTTGAAATTTTAGGCAAAATTTTAGGCAAAATGTATGCCTAACATACATTTGTTTGAGAAAAATGCAATTTGGTGAACTTAATGATAATAGTAGTAACATTAAAGATAAATATATTTAGGCAATATTTAAATTTTATCTGTATGTTTGAAAACTGAATTTAATCTTTTATTGACTTGAGTTGATCATATTTTATAAATTATTATACTAGAGAGTCATTGCATTTAATTATGACTTGTGTGTGGCTATTAAAATAATGTATATAGTTAGTATGAGAATGATAATGAGTAAGATATACTTTCTGCTGTGTGAATAGACTACATAGCAAAAAATATTTGTGGGGCTAATTTAACTTTTGTTGAATAGTATAAATTAATCAAGCTTTTGTATACACACACTTTTAAATGAAGTTACTAATATAGCATAATAAAAACAGGACTGTGATGTTGTATTTATAGGTTATAGCTATGTAGTTTAATGTTAAACTTTTTTTTCCCCCATTAGTGAGAGAGCAGAAGTAGATGCATCTTATATTGACGAGCTAGATGAACTCTTCAAAGAAGCCAATGCTCTTGAAAACTTTATAGTACAAAAAAGAGAATTCCTGAGACAGAGGTTTACAGTGATTGCAAATACACTGCATAGATAAGATTGTGTACTTAAAATAAGCTGAGAATTTAAGCCATTATTGTGGTAATGAAAGAATGGCATTTATGCTCTCCAAGTTTTCTAGTTGTTAAAGAGCATGTCTGCATTAAACGTAGAAAGGAAAGCTCCTTAAATTTCTTTTCTGGATTTAAAAGGAGCTTTAAATTGGGTATTAATATGAAATCTGTAGCTTTTCTTTTAAAGGTCAAATATTTGGCATGCTTTATGAAAGTGTAACTCAAAATATATATGGATTCTTTTTTTCTTACACATTCTGGCCTTTCTTAAATTTCTAAAAGGAGTCTTGATGAGTTAAGCTGATATTGTTTAACAATATTGCAATCTTTCTTTCAAAGTAGTTTGTTTAAATTGCAGATAGCGTTGGAGACAGTTTTAAAAGTCTTTTATGGCTTAATGTGACATAAAAAAATCCTTAAAATTATTAAACCTTAAAATGCATTTTCCATTTTCCAATATGTAATAAAATGTAACTGTATTAATGCTACTTAATATTACATTTTGATTATTTTTGCTATTATTATACATGGCTAATAAAAATTCTTGGTCTAAAATTACTTTCTTGTGGTAAAAGCAGTAAAATAAAAACTAGAAATTACTAAGCAGAACCTTATATGAGTTGATTTTTTTCACGTATCAACTAACTCACTGGTACTGTGAATGTATTATGTTTAGAAACCTAACAGCAGTTTGGTATGAAATAAAGAACAGTAGTCTACAATAAAAAAAAATTGGTGGTTAAGCATAAAAAAATATTGTTTGTAGAGGGGTATACTTCTGGCACAGGAAGGGTTAGGCAATGAGTAAATAACTTTACTGGCCCATTATCATTTAAAAATTGTTCCTGAGTTATTTTTTCTAAGCATTTATTATTAACATGAGACTGACATTGTTTTAGACTGAATTTCACAATATACTGGCTACATAGTGAATGTGTCACAGTTTAGCATCTGTTTCTTTCTGGGTATAAGGTTCAGAGAATAGATTTGATCATTTTATTTTGTATGACTTGAGATGGGACTAGGGAACTGATTACTTGAAGATACTGTATTGAAATTTTCCTGTCTTTTTAATAACAAGGCTATCTAATTTTTCTTACCTAGCAATTGGTAAAATTATTGCAGTTTCTGGTACTTTTTTATCTTTGCTTTCCAGAAATAATCCCTATATGGTCAGGTCTTTAAATTAGCTATTGAATTTCATTTACTACTATTGTTGGTATTTTAATAACTGTATTTATAAGTATCTGGTTTATTTTAGGTTTTGTGTCACTTATATTTGCTTGTAATTGTATATAGTTTTTATATTATTTCTGGGTCATCAACTTAATGGAAATTTGTAATGGTGGTTTTTTTTCCATGGAAGTTTAAAAATATTCACCAATAAAAGCAATTTATGCCAGCGAGTTTTGGAAGGGTAGTGATTCTGTTTAAGATATTTTATTTTAATTTATTATTCTGTTCAGCTTTTACTTTGCATCAGTTTTACTTTTTTCCTTGAATGTTACCAGTTTCAAATGTTACCAGTTTATATTTTGATGTTTCTAAATATAACTGTATTGTTTCTTTCTTATCACCTGTATATCTGTTGCTGTATCTCTTTTCATGAAAAACAAACAAGTTTATTGCTCTTTCTCCCTGACACAAAAACTGAAGTCTGGCGAACTGATTTCAATTCAATGTGTTTACCTGTCAGAACAGCTTCCTCCTACAGAAACTATAATAGTTCCTGAAAGCCTAAATAATGTTTTATTTTTAAAATTTCTTTATTTATGCACACAGAACTGGGGTTCAGGCCAGACGTGCAGGGGTGGTGAGAGGATTCACAAGAGACAGAGTGGGGAGTAGAACAGGCTGACTGATGAAGTATACTAATGTGGGGAGCAGCGGGCAAGCCAGGAGAGGTCTGCTGCGCCATGTGGATCACCTCCAGGGCAGGGATCGAACTCATACTTTAGCTTCTTAGTGCTTTGCTTTAACCTGCTGCACCACCAGGGAGGGCCCATAATATTTTTTTTTTCCCAAATTCAAATTTGATGTGTTTAGCACCATCTACAGAAATTAGAATAATTAGCTCACAACTGGAGATACACTATTGCAGTAATACTATTTTCCTTTAATTTGTAATACTGATATCATTCCTTTTCATTTCCATAAAATTTTACCAGTGTTAATTACTTTTCATTGGTTACATATTAAAGTATACATCGAACATCTTTGTACATCATACTCCGCTAGGCACTGTTGGGAAAGCAGTATAGTTTGGTACCCTTGTTCTCCCTTCTGACAATTTTAACAACTTCTTTCTTGAAATACACTTTTCATGTCTTTGCTGAGAAGACAGTGATCTGTTAAAAACATCTCTTTGGCAGTGCTTGTATCTCCGCTTAAGAGTTAGGCGAGTGTCAAAGGCTAAGTGTCAGAGAGGTAAATTAAAAAAAAAAAATTGAAAAGGGCAAAGGGAAAGTACTTGAGTCAGGGAAAAATTTGCTCAAAGGTACGGAAAAACCAAAACACTGGTATATTAGTCACTTTACTGGGCTGAGAATTCACAAAAGAGTTTAGTATTATCTAAACTACTAAAGACTGAAACCATTATGTCAATTATACCTTAAAAAAACCTGCTGAAGAACGGTTACTCAGTCTTGGTTCTTGATAGTCTTACTTGGTAGCATAGTATTTGACACAAAGGCACTACAAAATGTTTGGTAAATTAATAAAATTCTGTAGGGTTAAACTTTTCTTTAAAGGCCAAGCTTACACACATGCCCTTTTAAACCTACTGGATATGAGAACATGTTTTGTAAATTAAATGAATAGAAGAAAAAAAAAAAAAACAAGAACGATGAAATGCTAGAAAAACAGACAAAGGATGAAAGGTAGGTTGTGGCCTGAGTGCAGAGTCCTTTTTTGAGAGATTAAATTTCGGCTTTATTCAGTAAGGAAAGAAAAATCTGAATCTTTCAGAAGAGATCTGTATAATTGAATGATTTTTGTTGGTGGCCCAATTTCATTATTTCAAACAGCTACTTCTGAAAGATATAACTGAGATAGTTTTCATGAGCTTGCAGACATTTCGAAGCCCTACCCTTCCATGACACCGCCTAACCTGCCCATCCCCCTCCTAACCTGTCACTGAGCCAGGGACAGCCCAGGAAGTCTGTGAGCTTTCACTGTTTATTGGTGCACACCACTGCCAGCATTTGGAATCACTGGATCTGCGACTACTGAACTTCAATACAAAATTTTTTCTGAACCTTTCTCCATTTTGTCAGCAACCTTCAGCTATTGCAGTGGTTTTTCTTTCTGCGATAGTATACCAGATCCAGGTAGGGCATTTCCCCCCTCCCGGTCCTTGTCCTCTTCCTACCAGTAGGAACAGATTTTTGTGCTGCTTTGCTTAAAATTTCTGTGGGCTTCTGAAATTTTCCACTGCATCTGAAACAAATCCAGGTAGAGCAAGAGTAAAAGACAGGATTTATTTACTTGTCAGGGAAACAGCTTTGTGTACAACCCATTGGCTGGATTCAGGGTCTAGGATCTGCAATAGGAAGAATTTCGGCCTTTCTAACTAAAAACCACTATAGATTCTAATTTAAATGTTTATTTTTTTATTTGCATCTGGGGACACCTTTAAAACCTTTATTGTTTTGTAGCTTTTTATACAGCTACTGTTACCTGATTTTATTTCTTGAAATTGGCTGATAGAAATACTGCTGTGCACTATAAACTTCAAAATTATTTAATTCAAATGATTTAGTGCTTGCAGTATGCAGTAAAATGTGTTAGGTATTGAGGGGAGCAAAAACATGTTCCTGTACTTAAGGAATGCTAGTGGGAGGGTTGAAAGGATATTCATGTTTGTCACATAAGATGGAATAAGATAAGCACGATAAGGGAGTTAAAATTAAAACAGTGCAGGCCCTCCCTGGTGGCGCAGCGGGTTAAAGCACAGCACTAAGAAGCTTAAGCCACTTCCGCATGAGTTTGATCCCCACCTGCCCTTGAGGTGACCACATAGTGTGGCAGACCTCTCCTGACCTGCCCGCTGCTCCCCTCAGCAGTGTACTTCCTCGATCTGCCTGTTCTGCTCCCCACTCTGTCTCTGGTGAATCCTCTCACCCTCCGCATCTTTGGCCTGTACCCCAGTTCTGTACGAATAAATAAATCTTAAAAAAAAAATTAAAACAGTGCAAACTATGGAGGAATCAATCCAGTTATTGCTATTGAAAATGGTAATGTTCTGTTGAAGTGGGTAACGAGGGCCCTGGATTTGGAAGAATGAGTAGGGTAAGTGAATTTTCTAAAGGACATGGGAAATATGCCAGGTGAAGGAAAGAGAACAAGGGGAGAAACAACAAGGGATGAGGAGGAATCCAAGGGGTGGGGAGGAAACCAAGCACGGCCAGGCAATTTTGACTCGACTTAGTAGACAAGGAGTCATTTGTAAAGATTTCATGGAGGAATCTGACAATTGGATTTGTATTTATGTTAATTTAGTGACCGTGCTCTCCATTTTTTCTCATCATAGCACATATAGAAAATGGTAACACTTTTACCTTAGACTGGAGTATATAGGATGGAATCTGGAGCCCTGATGAGCTGCTTAGATCTGGAAACAGTGACCTGTGGCCTTTGACCATCCCAGAGAGACAAGGATCAAGAGGCCCACCAATTTGGGAGCTTTGGCATAGAAGATCACTCCCCTTTCTAATTTTTCCTTTTAATTAAGTCTTTATAATATCCATCTAAAGGTTGTGAGGGTATAAATTAGCAAAACAGAAGTAACTGATAGGCAAGAGAAGTTGAAGACTCAGTGCTGATTAGGATAGGTTTGGATCAGCAGGAAAATGTGGGGTGCTGCCCCAGAAGGTTGTACTGGTGTGAAAAATCTTAGCAAAATACTTTCCCTAGGCACCCCTGGAAACGTCTGAGTCCTGTATATGCTCTATAACATCCCCTTAGCATCTCTTCCTGATCCTGTAGTCAACAGAATTTAAGCAGTTAGTGAATGAAAAGTAAAGAAGACAAATTCAAGGCCCACAGAGCTTTTGAAGGTATGTGATTAGCAGGTGGGAACTGATTTGGAAGGGAAATAATGGATTCTGTTTTGTCACATTGAGTCATCTGCAAGAGGAGGTCGGTGACATTAAAGACAGACGAGATTACACAGGGAGGGTGCTGAGGCAAACAGAGTAAAGGTCCAAGGGCAGATCTCAGGAACAATCGTCTGTCCTGTCCGTGATAAGCGAAAGAGGAGTTGGTAAAGGGGATGAACACGTGGCAACTCTCTACTACCATTGTATTTACTTAAGCTGTGGAAGTATCCCCTTTTTAGCTCTATTCCCATTTTATCTTTGAGCAGTAAGTAGTCATTTGCCAAAACTTGCCAGTTAGTAAGTAATGGAACTGTCAGAAAGCAGTCAAAGATGAGCAGGAAAGTTAAAAAAAAAGATGTCTCTAGACAAGAATGAAGAGGTTTTAGGAGGTGTTGACCTTAATATCAAGTACTGCAGGGAGCTAGAAGAGCGTCTGATAGACTACCAATAGAATGTTCTGGAGGACAGAACATGCAGGTGGGAAAATAATGACTAACTGTAAATTGTTTAAATTCAGACAGATGCACAAGTCATTTTAATTTTGATTATTTCAATTTAATTCTAATTAGACAAGAGGAGTAAAACATCTGTCCAGGGAATTTATTATAATTTCAGAGGAGAGCAAGGCAAATATGCATATTAATAAAAACCCATGAAGATAAACACCTGAGAGTTTCCTCCTCTTCATATCTCCACCACTGTGATTCAGATCTATGTCTACAAATACCTGTTTGCCTTAGCCCAGACTCTGATTTTTTTAAGTCCAAAGTCAAGTCCTTGAATTTGCATTTTTTCAATAACAGCAGGGATTTTTATTACAAGTAGTCCTCAGACCACTCTTTGAAAAAAATGCTCAAACAAAACACTAATCCCAATATAAATAACATTTCTATGCCTTTATCAGACAGTTCCTTAATGGGAACTAATTCCTTAATGGGTTCTAATACTTTTTATCTGTGAGCAGTGGTTACTAATTTGCTGAATGAATAATTGAAAGAAAAGTAATACATCTTGTCAATCATTTAAATCTACATAATTACAGCATTTTTGAGTACTTACTATGTGACCTAATTCATCAAGAATTATCTCAGTTTCTAATAATTATATAGCACAATTACATAATTCATAATAAGCACTATTATAATGCTTATTTTAGAAAGAAGGGAACAGCACAGAGAGTTTTATTATCTTTTCCCAAAGCTATTTATTTGGAAAATAGCAGACCAGAATTTGAACCCAAGCATTCTGGAGCCTATGGTCGACATTCTTAAGCATCACACTATGCTACTTCTTGAAGGAAGAAACATTTGATAGAGACTTTGAACAGTAGATGGAATTTTCGTAGGGAAAGATTAGGTGTTCAGAGCATTCAGGATGAAGTTGATTTTACCTGGGAAATTGGGAAATAGTTGAGTTTGAATTGTTACATAAAAGAAAACAAAGTTTGGTGTTCTAAAGTGATTTAAAAAAAAACGTGAAATAGGATAATGTGATACTGTATTTTTCTAAAAGAATGCATATGCATATCACTTTTTTATAGAGGAATAGTGTCCCTATGTGTGTTCAATTAAGACTCCTATGTCACTGTTAAAAGTTTTACGAAACAGAACAAAGGACTATTTCATAGTATTTAATATTTGGCCATTCCGATGTGATAGGCAATACTGCCTTGTGGACTAAAGTATGAAATAATAAATTCATATTTTCACTTATTGTTACATAGTAATGATGCTTACTTCTTGAGAGTTTAGAAGTTTAGGTAATTTTAGACTAGATATCACTGCATAATTTATGACACCCTTTTTCTAGAAATTGCCATATATGTTTATGTGTATGTCATTAAAAATAGACTAAACTATAGACCTTGCTAACCTCTTAAATGACTGAATTATTTGGGATCATGTTCTGGTGTGTCTAAAGTACTGAGGTCAGTGTAATTATAAGATTGACTGGTGGTCAATTTTTAACTTAACAATGAAACTGCTACTTGCATATCTGAGCGTGGAATCATTCTTGTTCAAATATGAGAAGTGATGACAATAATGAAGTCTGAGTTAACTTTTAGGCAGTGCTAGTCCATTGCACTACCAGGGAGCTATTTCTATAGAGAAATAGATACATTTTGGCGTAAAATTTGGCATAAACTCTGGTAAAATTTTTTGTACTTTTGATTCCCCCTTCACAGTTTTGAAGATGTCCATGGAAACTACTTACCAGAAAAATGTGACCTTTGGTAAGCGGGAGAACCTTCCATGTATTGCACCACTACTAACCACAGTGGAGGAGACCCCACAGGTCATCACTGCTCGAGTCCGAGGACATTTCCCTGAGTGGCTCAGTGGCTACCTACTTCGAATTGGACCTGGAAAATTCGAGTTTGGGAAGGATAAGTAAGCCTTGGGGGAACAACTTGGATTTCTTAGCATGGCTGTATACATATTCTGTAAAACATGTACTCATATCTGCTTCCTTTCTGAGGTTAACACTGCTGTTCAATCCCTTTGATGGGATTAAGTACAGGAGGAAACTATGGAAAAAAAGAAATGGAGACTTCTTTTTAAAAGGTCCTGACTTTGCTGCTTTGCAGAATATTAACAATTTGAAGTTAATATGAAGGTTTATGTGAAAGGGCAAGTGTCTGGAAGTATGTAAGAGGCTGTCTTGATCACATACCACTCCCTTACCCAGCCCTCCCCAGACACGGGCTGTTTCAGTTCCCCAAACTGGGCGCACTTAGTTTTGCTCAAGGTCTTGGCAGTAGCTCTAGCATCTGCTTTCCCAAGCATGATTCCTGCCATTCATATACCAGCTCAGCTCTCAAGTCTTTTGAGCCTTCCCAGATTTCCGCTCTGAACCTGCTGTTATTTATATGTTACCTATCTTAATCTCTGCACAGCACTGTATCTCTAGTAATTTTGTTTATTCATTTGTTTATTAGCTATTTCTCCACTAGAATGTAATTTCCACGAGGGCAAAGACTTTCTTATTCTCCCCATATCCCTAGTATTTAGGAAGAACCTTGTCCTTGAATAGCAGTCAATGAATATCTGAAAATAAGTAACAAGTAAAAGAAAAAACAACCCAGTAACTCATAATTTTCCTGGGTGCCTCCTAGGGACAGGAAGTGATAGCAAGAAACCCTTATTGTCAGGGAGGAATCTGCTTTGTCTTCAGTATTATTTATTTATTTATTTATTTTAAAGATTTATTTATGCATATAGAGCTGGGGTACAGGCCAGAGGTGCATTGGGTGGTGAGAGGATTCACCAGAGGCAGAGTGGGGAGCAGAACAACAAAGAGGGGAGCAGCAGGCGAGATAGGAGAGATCTGCCATGCCATGTCGATCATCTCCGGGGCCAGGGTTTGAACTCAGACTGAAGTTACTGCTGCTGTTAGCTGCGTCCTAACCTGTGGTGCCACCAGGGAGGGCCATCTTTAATATTTTTTAAATATTAGATACTTTTTTATTATAAAAGATTTACCTCTATAAAACTTTTTGAAATATGGAAAAAGGGTGGGAAGGTTTTTACCACATATACTGTTTGCATTTTGGTGTATTTTCCTTCCTGTTAGTCTTTCCTCATTACAGTTATATTATGTATAGACTTATTTTTTTTTGCCCTGATTTAAAAAAAATTCATACTATCATATCTTTTTGTCCGTATTTGTACAAAATCTGAATGACATTTTTAATGTCTGACTGAGATTCCAGAAATCACTACCTTTAAAAAACATGGTAAAGTAGATCTAAAATTTACCATCTTCACTATTGTTAAATATGCAGCTCAGTAGCATTAAGTACATTTCCAGGCTCACTGAATGCTTGGTGCTGCCAGGAAATCTTAGCGGGCGCTCCTTCCCAGCGCCCACAGGGTCCCTTTCCTGAAGCCTCCTTCAGTCTCCCTGCCCTGTTCACTGCCAGCAGCTACTCCATAGCGGGGCAGGTGGATTGGAGCTCCTTCAGCCCCCTCTGACCCACCTGCACTACATGCCTGGCCCTGCCTCGGGACCAGAGGAGGAAGGGCCCACCCTCCTCCGCAAGCTCTCTTCTGCATCGTTCACACCCCCCTTGTACCTGCCTCCCCTGCACTGCGAGCCCCTAGCTCACCCTCCAGATGTCCTCTCCACCTTCCTCTCCAGCCACACCTGCTCCTCCCCCTCACTGCTTCTTGCTGGCATTTCAGTTCCTGCCATCTAGCTTTTTAGCTCTCCTCTACCCCCTCCCCTCACCATTCTGTGGTATCTGTTCTCAGAAAGGTCACCAAAACCTGTGAACTATTAAATGGCCTTTCCATTCCCCAGCCTGATTTTTCTGCCATGTCTGAACTTATCTGTCAATGGTCTTAAAAATCTATTTTCCCCACGTTTCCACCTCATACTTCATACTTGTGTATTTTTAAAGATTTGTTGCCGATGTCACTACCCCAGTCCCTTTAATGTTGCTACATCCTGGCTTCTGCGCTGAGTGTTCCTGTCTTTTCTCTCATTGTTTGCTTCCTTTGGTAGGTTCTTCGGAGTAAGATGCAGTTGATTTAAATTCCAGTCTCACCATTGAATGGTGCTATCATCTTGACCAAGGTGTCTCATATGAAAATGGACCTAATAAAATAAACTTTAATGATAGGTTTTAAGGATTTTGGAAGACAGTGCATATAAAGTGCTTCATTCAATGGCAAACAAACTCTGATGCTCATTTCATTCTCTTCTTCCACTTCAGTGCTCTCTCCCCTCCACCTTCCTGTCATATAAGAGTTCATCTCACTTTGGGAGTTGTAAGCTCATGATGTGCAGCTGGCACTGAGTGCAAATTCCTTTTCTTCCAGGTACCAGTCCTGTGGCCCTAGGACCCTACACATGTAGCTGCTTTTAATTTTGTTTTCTCTACCTGTAAAATGCGGTAATAGCTCCTCTGTGATCTCTCTGTGTGTGTGTGAAGTGCTTAGCATACTACTGGTGTGCAGTCCATGCTCAGTGATTGTAATTACCCCATTGTACCTATGGTTATACCTGTTGCACACAGGTATTGTGAAATGCACTTCAAGACCGCCTTCCTCACTTGTTCTCTCGGTCTGTATTTTGTCAGTGAGATTCACTCATCCTGAAGTATAACAAAAAGCTCATACTCTTTTGAAAGCTGAACAGTTTGCTCCTACCGCAAACTTATTGTCACATAGTCTTCATCAACATACACCCAGTCATTCAGGTGTGACATTTTGGACTCTCTTTTAGTCACTGCTTACATGTTATCTCTGACTTGTTTCTAGTTTTCCTTTTCTAACTATACTGTAGTTCCATTTAGACTCATCTTTTCTCCCTGGAGTTATTACCCAGCTTCATCATTGTTTTCTATACATCTAAATGCTCCTCTATAAACAGCTCCCTCCTCCTCTTGCTCCCCACTCCACTCTCCCTCTGGTAGCCTCACATCTGCATACACAGATTTAAAGGGTTTGTTTGATTGAATTTTGTCTGTTACTTTTCCTTGTTTCTTTGTATTTCACACGAGTGAAATCATCTGGTATTTGTCTTTCTCCTTCTGATTTAGGACAGTCCTCTCCAGTTCCAGCCATATTGTCACAGATGGCAAGGTTTCAGAATTTTTTCTTGAATGCTTCTCTTTCTATGCTATTCTACTTTGGCCAGAATCACCTTTTTAAGATGTGGGTCTCACAGTTTCTCCAGGTTTGAAATGCTGCACTTTGCTGTTGAAGTGCTGAGCACTGTTGAGTGCTTAAGCCTGAGCGTTTACAGCAGGTGATGACGATGCTGACCTTTCTCCATCGTCATCACCTGCCAGTGACAGCTCTGCCCATGTTAACTAGCTGGCTACTCCCCTCATTCCATGTGGTTTCATGCTTCTTCCTCCTTTTATTACCCCATGCCTCAGATGCCCTTCTCTTCTTCCACTGATAAACCTCTTTAAAGAACCAGACTATTGTCTGTCTCCCCTTGAAGCTCTTGGACGCCCACATCCTTCCAGCCTGTGGCTCCTTTGGTGTACCAGTGGGATCTTTAGCTAGTTCTCCATTGCAACAGAAGTCGCTTTGCATCAGCTTGAAGCCCTAACAAGAGTCAGCCTGTCCTTTGGAATGGTAGTTATTGACTTCTTTCTGATTTTGAAAGGCCTACATGGCATTTTCTTCCAATGAAGACTTTGGCTTAAAAAGAAATGTGTGGCTGGTCTTGAATCCAGACCACTAAAACTTTCTCTGTGTCAGCAGTAAAGATGTTTTATTTGCTTTCTTATCATTTGAGTGCTCCTTGGAGTACTACTTTTTTTTTTTTAAAGATTTTTTAATTTATTCATACAGAACTGGGGTACAGGCCAGAGATGCGGAGGGTGAGCGGATTCACCAGGGACAGAGTGGGGAGCAGAACAGACAGATGGACGAAGAACACTGCTGAGGGGAGCAGTGGGCGGGTCAGGAGAGGTCTGCCGTGCCATGTGGATCTCCTCCAGGGCAGGCGGGGATACAACTCATGCGGAAGTGGCCTAAGCTTCTTAGTGCAGTGCTTTAACGCGCCGTGTCACCAGGGAGGGCCCTGGAGTACTACTTTTAAAATCCTTCAAGAAATCCTTCCTTTGCATTCACAGATGGCTGTCTGTCTAGTCCAAGAGACCTAGCTGTAGGCATGTCTTCCTCACTAAGTTGAATTCTTTCTAGCTTTTGATTTAAGGAAAGACATGTTATTCCTCCTTTCACTTACACTTAGAGGCCATAGTACAGTTTGGCTTTATGTCAGTACAGTTTGTGTCTCAAGGAATAGAGAAGCCTAAGGAGAGGAAGAAGAACAGGGGGGTGGCAGGCTGGTGGAGGCGTCAGAACACAGTTTACCAATTAAGCTCACCAACTCGAATGCATATGGTTGTTGGTGCCTTGAAAAATTATAATAGTAACATCAAAGTTGAAACTGATCATCAAAACAGAAATAGTGAGTTGGAAACATAGTAAGAACTACAGAATTATAAATAATGTGACACAGAAACAGGAAGTGAGCACATGCACTGAGCAATGGCACTGATAGGCTTGCTTGAAGCAGGGTTGCTACAACCTTCAGTTTGTAAAAAATGAAGTATCTGCTAAGTATCTGCACAATAAAATGATATATCCTTGTATTTGAAGTCACTCATTTTGATACCCTGTTTTCCCTACTATTTGTATTTCTTTTTTCCTCCTGTGTGAAGGTACAATCACTGGTTTGATGGAATGGCTTTACTACATCAGTTCAGGATGGAGAAAGGCACAGTGACATATAAAAGCAAGTTTCTGCAGAGTGATACATATAAGGCCAACAGTGTCCATAATAGAATTGTGATCTCAGAATTTGGTACACTCGCTCTCCCTGATCCATGCAAGAATATTTTTGAACGTTTCATGTCAAAGTTTGTGTTGCCTGGTAAGCAGCTTTTATTTAGTGTGCTCACAATTTGCAGGAAATAGTGATATTAATAGTTAAATTATGATTAATGACAATTTACATAAATATAAAATCTTCAAGTAAGGTTTTTTTTTTTTTGTATGAGATGATGTTTAAGTTGTTTTAGCCCTCTGATTGTATGCCTTAGGCCACTGGAGTAGGTTGTGGGACTTATACAAGTTGGTTTTGGTTGCAGCAATAACCGACAACACCAATGTCAACTTTGTGCGCTACAAGGGTGATTACTACGTCAGTACTGAGACCAATTTTATGAATAAAGTGGACGTTGAAACCCTGGAAAAAACAGAAAAGGTAAAATACATGTTTAAACGATACACAAAATAGATCCTACATTCCCCTCCCCCCATTTTAAATGTTTTTTAGAGTAGTAAAGAGCTTAAGAAAGTGCTTTAACCAAGTAAAATCAAAGTTAACCACTGATTAAGGTCATGTGCAATCTCTGTCCAAATTAGAATGGCCTGTACAGTTGATTTTCCTTGAATATAATTCTAGATTTCTTCCTTAGTGCTAATTTCTGAAGACTAGGGTAAAGGAGGAATAGAATAGTGCAGATTTACTTTTGCCTATTCATGTTCTTCCTAACTACTGAAAGAATCGGACTGGAAAGTGTTTAGACGCAGATTGTCTTGACAGCGTATTTAAAGTAAAGTAAAATTTCAGACCAGATTTTAATTTTAATTTTTATTCTTTTGAACTTTCCAGTGATGTTGGATAAATCTGTTTTTCTTTTGTTGTTGTTATTGGTGGTGCTTTTGCTTGTTCTTAGTCTTTCTTTTTTTTTTTTAAGTTGGAAAATAAGTTTGATTTTTCAGAGGTAAAGATATTTGGGCTTAACCTGTTCTTTTGTATATATCTTTAAAATCTTCACATGTATCCCTACAGTCTATGCATCTAAGTAGACATGTGCCCATGTAACATTTAAAAGTCTCTCCTGGCCCTCCCTGGTGGTGCAGTGGGTTAAAGGATAGCACTGTGTAGTTGGCCATAACCTCTTCAGCGCAAGTTCGATCCCCAGCTCAGGAAGTGACCCACATGGCCTGGCAGACCTCTCTTGTCTCACCCGCTGCTCCCCTCAGCAGTGTACTTCGACCATCTGCCTGTTCTGCTCCCCACTCTGTCTCTGGTGAAGCCTCTCACTGCTCCTGCACCTCTGGCCTGTACCCCAGAAGTACATAAATAAATAAATCGTTAAAAAAATAAACTAAAAGTCTCTCCTGGTCTAAAATTTGTAGGTAGACTGGAGCAAATTTATTGCTGTGAATGGAGCAACTGCACATCCACATTACGACCCAGATGGAACAGCATACAACATGGGGAACTCCTATGGGCCACGTGGTAAAGTTGGGACAGAGAGGCTTTGAAAAATAGCTGGGCGTTAACTATCTTCCCAGGTTCTATTATGGTTTAGATGTTAACATATGAGACTTCATCTGAAATGTTTAGAAAGAAACCTCCAAAGTGGTATCACTGAACTTAAACTTCATAATTTATCGCTAGGCTTGTGTTGTGTGGGCCTTCTGCACATACTTTAGGAGCTGATTTTCTGCTTTTTGACTCATAGGCTTTATTGGGATTTTTGGTATATATTTCCCAAACTTGAATTTTTAAGAATTATATTATAAGAAATTTAGAATGCTGCAATCTATCATATGGGAAGGAACTTTTTTTTCCCAGGAAAGTAACACAAAGTAAGCTAAGCTTACAGTGAAGTAGTCACCAAACCATTAACTTCACACCTCTTTCCTAGTCACCCCTATACTGCCCCAACTGCCTACCAGCCTGCTCCAGAAAGTTCTAATAGTAATAATGATAGCTAACATTTATTGAGTGTTGTTATTAACATTTATTGAGTGTTATTGTTAAGCATTTTCCATATCTTTTCTCACTTAATCCTTAAGTAGAACTTATAATAGTTTTCTGAGAAAACTATTAGTATTGTCCCCATTTTATAGATAAGGGCAATGAATCTTGTGAAGATTTAAGATATGTAGGCAAGTTTCTGATTAAGACCAGACTTGACTGCAAGCCTGAATCACACCCAAAGACTTGCTGTTAGTCACTCTGTTAGGCTGTCTTGATGATTTTTTATCACTGATTACAGAAGATTTTCTTGGGGCATGAAGATTCATGTTCCTGTACATGAGTACATGTTGTCTTTCTGTTTGAAACAAAATATGTATATGTAATATTAGGTATTTCCAACAATCTTAGCTTTTGTGCAGGTTAACTTTCATATAGCTCAATGTATGCCTTTGCTGAAAATTGACTTTTGTGGTTGTTCATCTGTATCTCTCCATATTTACACATGTGAATGTGTAAGAAAATGATTATTACAGGTTTCTCCATGGCTTCAGTGGCCATGAGTTTATCTCCTGTCTCTTTCTATTATCAGATCTCTGGCAGGGATGTGTTCTCAAAGCTGTTATAGGAAGCAGCAAGTCCTTTTAGAGAAAATGGGTAAATTGGGTAAATTCAGCAAGTGGGTAAATTGCCTTACTCTTTTTTGTCTGTCATTTTTTTGATTATTAAAAAAAACTATTTATTAATAAGTTAACTCTGTTAACCAAGTGATAATTTTGTAAGTAGACTACAATATTTGAATATTTTTTCAACCATTTTAAATTATATATTTTAAAGTATTTAGTTATTAAATCAGTGGTTCTCAGCCTCAGAGTAATCTGGAATGCTTCCTAGCATTGTGTATTTCTGGTTCAGTAGACCAGAAAAGGAGCCAAGAAAGTGCATTTTAATCAGTCCCCTGACCCCTTATCTTGGTGCACTTAACAAGGTCCCCAGGTGATTTTGGTACAAGAGGCTCCTGGATCTCACTTTGAAAACCCTTGCTCCAGTCATTTATATAAAATTCTGAAGAGTCTCTCTGAATTAGGTTCATCTTGGGCAGGTCATTCCTCTTCTGGGTGTTTCCTGGGTGTCTGCCTTGCTCATGCCTTGTGGTCACAACAGTTCATTAGCTATAATAGTGTTTAGTTTAATGAATTGAGTAATGCAGTTACTGATATTATTTATCTTTTCTTTAATAGACACTTAAACTGGATCTACTTCTTTTCTCTTACTTGATCATTTGGTTCAGTGAGAAATTTTTGAACTGAGAGAGCTTGACAAGCCAGGATATGTTTCAGTGAAATTTAGTGATTTGCATTGTAGTAAATGCTGGCTAGTAATTTCTAACTTTTAGGAAGTAAAAAGCTTTTAATTGTTTTAACTTTTCCAGGTGTTTTAAAGAGATTTTGAAAAATTAACAGCCCTCTAAATGTTAATCCACCTATAACTAATCTAGAAATATGTAATCAGTTACACGGTAATATTATACAAATGGAACTATAGAACTTATCTTTTATTTCTTTTAGAACTCATCAAAACATGTTATTTTCTATTTCATGGATTCTCAAAACATCTGTGTCTCCAAACTAGACTTCTCCAGTATTCGTATTGAATTGTTTCTAATATTTTTACTAGGATGTGTAGTAGGTACAGCAAAATTAACTTGCCTAAAAATAAGCCCCTGATCATTCCTAAGTTCTCTGTTGAAAATATTCCCCATTTCAGTTGATAGTAACTCCATTCTCGCATTTGCAGTTATTTGATAACTCTGAAGTCATTCTTCACCCCTCTCTCTATTGCATATCCACTTCCAGTTGGTCAGAGTAATTTCAGCAGTGCCTTCCAAGTATACCCCAAATCCAGCAGCCTCATGTCACTTACAGTGCAGCTCTCGTTTGAGCCTCTGTTCTCTCACTTGAAGTACTGTGGTAGCTTCTTAACTAGGATTCTTGCTTCTGCTTCACCCTTATTCCACTTGGGTTTGTTCTCAGTGTACCAGCCAGGTAGCCTTTGAAACCACCCACCTCAGCACTTATATTCTTCTCATTGCTTACTTTGGGATGGCCACACTGGCCTCTTTGCTGTTTGAGCTCTTCAGACTATTCTTGCCTGAGAATCTTTGCATTTGCTCTTCTCTCTGCCACGGCTTCCTTCCTCACCTCCTTTTGGCCTTTCCTCAAATGTTACCTTCTGGTGAAGCTGTCCCACACCATCATATTTAAAACTGCAAATAGTAGCCCTCAACTGATGTCTTCACTGCCTGGTTTATTTTCCACTATAGTTCTTAGCATCTGATGCATTACAGCATTACTTACAAAGTTATTAGAATTTAGATTTTAGAAATGAAGAGTCTTTTGTCTGTTTTGGACCCTGCTGTATACAAATATCTGGATTATAGTATTTAAAAAACACTTAGAAGAGTGTCTTGAATATAGTGGCATGTTAAAAGTAGCTGTTGAATAAGTGAAAAAATGGTATGTTACTACCTTGTTTCAAAAGAAGCTTAGTGATTATATAAAATTCCGTTAGTTATGCAAGCTTTTTAGAACCTACACTGGCAATTCTACACTAGGGAGATAATTCATTATGACTTCATTATTTGTTTCATTCCCTGAGTGATTTCACAAACATGTTGCTAGTTAACCCTTCGTGACTGTTTATAGTGTGCTTACTAAATGCTCAGCTCTGAGGATGCAATGACACATCAGACCCAATTGCTGCCCTTGAGAGTTCGTCCCTCTGTTGGGAAATAGATAAACCAGCAGAAAATTATAGTACAATAAGATAAGTGCTGTGACTGTATACAATATAACCAGGGCATAGAGAAAAGATTCCAAATATCTTTGGGGTGGGGAAGATTGGGGAAGGCTACTTAGGGAGTGGATATCTGATTTGATTCCTAACGACGTAATAAGCAATGGCCAGAGGAAGGATTGCATGAATGAATGTTGATGAGTCAGGATGAGATGGGACCCAATGTGATCTTAGGGAACCACAGGGAAGGAGTTGGGCCTGGGTACAAATAGTTGTTGGGATCGGGGTATGAGAAGAGAAATAAATAGAATTTGTGGATGTTTGTGGCTGCTGCCTTATCTTTTCCTATGAAATAAGGCTTGCGCTCCTTTTCAGTAAGTGAGGGGATAGCCATTTGAGAACATTAAAATACAACATACTGTTGGTTGATTACTTTGTTGTTTCAAAGCCTTAGCTAATACCAATCATAACTTTATGAGTGTTGAGTTATGAGTGGCATTGAATATTTTATATTCAGGTCTTGTTTGAAATAGCTTTTCATGAAATATGGTGTCGTGCATTTCATAAATCTCTTAGCTGTGTTGTCCACAAGTGCAAGGATTACAGCTTTGATTCTTAGAATGTACATAAAAGTAGTCAATACTTTCCTTTTTCCAGGTTCTTCTTATAATATTATTAGGGTTCCTCCAGAGAAGACTGACTTTGGGGAAACAATCCATGGAGCCCAGGTGATATGTTCTATTGCTTCTGTAGAGAGGATGAAACCTTCATACTACCATAGTTTTGGTGAGCTTGGTGGTAAGGCACATTTCAGTGGGGGCTGCCTTAATATCACTGTAACAGAGAGACTAATTTTAGCAAGTACTATGCTAATAGTTTGTCAGACTATAGTAATAATGAGTACAAAGTTACACTTAATGCCAGTTAAGCTTATTCTGTTGGTCATGTGCTGCTTATCCTAGCCAAATAACTCCTTGAAAAGATAGTTAATTTAGAAAGAACAGTTACTCAAAAATTAATTGACCACACTAGAAGTGAACCATAATATAAACTAGATTTTGGGCTATTATAATGTAGATTTATTAGTTGCAACAAATATATCCCACTGGTGGGGCACATTGGTAATTGAGAGGCTATGTGTATAGGAGGTATAAGAAAAAGTATCTCTGGACCATCTCCTCAATTTTGTTTGTAAACTTAACACTGATCTGAAAAAGTAAAGTCTTAATAAGAAAATAATTTTGCCATAAGGATTAATATGCCAGAAATTAATATGTTAGTCAACTTTAAAACTTGCAAAAGATAGTCATACATGAAAAGGTATTGACCACATTACTTTGTGGCTGGGAAGGGAAGAAATTCCTACTCTGTAGATCACTTCAGCCCTTTTATAGCATATTTATTATTGGCATTCTAAAGCTTTATAGCTACTCTGCTTCTCATATAAATAGTAAAATATCTTAAGGAATAAAAGACCGGATAATAATGGCAATGTAATACTTTGTTCCTAAACCAAACAATTAAAAAAGAAAGGGGAAAAAAAAGATACAAAGCAAACAGAGGACATTCAACCCAAGCTTTGCTAAGCCTTTCCCTTTTTAATGTAGGAAAAGCACATAGCTATAACGAAGCTGGGAAATAGTGAAGAATTATTGGTGTTCATCTTGATCAGCACTAAGATGTCCAAGAATTCACACAAGTCCTCATACTGGTCACATTTCAGACAACATTAGGTTACCAAGTAATATGTTATTGTTTGCTGGAACCTTTCAGGAATGACAAGAAACTACATAATCTTCATTGAACAACCTCTAAAGATGAACCTGGGGAAAATCATCACTTCTAAAATTCGGGGAAAGGCGTTTTCAGATGGAATAAGCTGGGAACCCCAGTATAATACACGGTTCCACGTGGTGGATAAGCACACTGGGCAGGTGGAGTATTTGGAGTATATTTACTGTGAAGATGTTTAGATATAAGGCAGGTTCCCTATGATTGATTTTTATCTTTACTGGAGATTACTGACTTTTTTTAATGTAAAGGTTTCTGTAACTTTTGCAGACATTACAGATGTTTAGATTTAGTTGCTACTGTGGTATCTTGATAAATAAATACGATAATCTCACTAAAGTCCAAACCACATTCGTTAAGTATCTTTCTATATTCCTGATTAACAGTGCCATATTTATCTACATATTACCTCTAAAGACATAGTATCCTAAATTTACTATACCCAGTTTTCAATACAAAAATAACCCCATTTTAATAGTGATTGTATTTTTCAAAGAATTTGTCACTTAATTTATCATAAGCTACTTTAAAGCATTATTTTCTATTTAATCATGTACTCAGATTTGGAACTTATCCTTCAAAACATTAGATCATATTTCAAGAGGATTCTTAAGTTAGTTGCTAACAACTGATTGGTTTATCTTACATGCCCCCCCACCTTCGTGGGTTAAATCTGAGATGAGATGAATTATGTAAACAGTGCTTAAATTAAATCAACAAATTTTCACCAACACTCCAGATTCTATTTTTTATACCTACCAGGCCTCCTTAAGGAAGGAGGTCATCTTAATGAACTTTGTGGATCTGTTTTCTTAAGGAAAAATGAAAGGGAAACAAAATAAGATCTCTTTTTCATTGTAAATTCTCTTGCAGCTTCTTCCAGGGATGTACTATAGCAAACCTTTTGTTTCATTTCATCAAATCAATGCCTTTGAGGACCAGAATTGTATTGTGATTGATTTGTGCTGTCAAGATAATGGAAAAAGCCTAGAAGTTTATCAACTCCAGAATCTTAGGAAAGCTGGAGGAGGGCTTGATCAGGTAACTATTTCTGATTTGTCAGGAGCTGTGAAAATAGTTTTGCTAGCAAAGTTCTGGCATTGGCCTTGGAGTTAGTGGTTTCTCTTGCTTCTTTGGCAAATAAGGAGGGGAGATGGCTTCAAAGCATTGAAGACAGTTTTATAATTTACTTAGTATTTATTTATTTAATATTTTAAAATAATTTGAAGTACTTAATTCCAACTTCCCTTGCTATTAACATGTTATCTTGATGTGTGGTAAGTCGTTACTAAAAGCTATTTTAGTTGCTTTCAATTTTAAGCAAATATGTATAAAAATGCTATGAACATTCATGTATAGGTATTCTGTGGACATGTGATTAATTTTTTAAAAGGTACTTTTTATACATTATAAAAGTTCCCTTTTAGTTTACTAAAAATTTTATCAGAGGCCCTCTCTGGTGGCGCAGCCAGTTAAAGCAGAGCACTAAGAAGCTTAAGCCACTTTCCCATGAGTTCGATCCCCGCCTACCTGGGAGGGGATCCACATGGCAGCAGATCTCTCCTGGCCTGCCCACTGCTCCCCTCAGCAGTGTAATTCGACCATCTGCCTGTTCTGCTCCCCGCTCTGTACCTGGTGAATCCTCTCACCCTCCGCATCTCTGCCTGTACCCCAGTACTGTATGAATAAATAAATAAATCTTTAAAATTTTTTTTTTATCAGGGATGAATATTGGATATAGCAAATGTTTTTTCTGCACTATTGAGATAGTCACATGCCTTACCCTTTATTCCATTGATGCAATGAAGTACATTGATTGATGTTTAAAATTTGTAACAGCCATTGATTAAGTTTTCAAAGTGAAGATAGTTTTCCATTCCTGAACTAGCTTTTTATATATAATTAGAACTAACTATATATTCTAATTATCTATAAAATATATATGCATATAGATATATTTCTTGCTTTGCTTTGCTGACATTTTGTTTAGGATTGAAAAAAATCTGTTTCATGAATAAAATTGGCCTGTAATTTTTTCTTAAAACCGTTATTTTTAGGTTTTGGTATTTAGATGTTTCTGATTTCATGCAGTGGGTTAGAAAATGTCTCTTTGTTATTCTTTACATGAGAATGTATAAGATTGACCTCACTTTTACACATTTGCAATAATTCAGCAATGAAGCCATTTTAGCCTATAAATTTCTTTATAGGTAGATCTCTATGTATTCTATTTCTTTTATATCACAGGGTTACTCTAATTTTCTGTTTCTTTTCATGTCAGACTTGGAAATCATATTTTTCTGAAGAAGGCAGCCCTCAGTGTTGGTCTCTACAGTATGTGTCTTAATGTCACTTATCTCTGTCAGACTTTCGACTTTAGAAGCACATGTTCATTTGATACTAATGAAATAACATACTTTTATCTCATATTAGTTGAATAAATGAACTAATAAAAACAATTATTTACACACTTACTTAGGAAGGCCTGTAATGCTGCCTGGATCTGTGTGATTGGGACACGCTATTGCTATAATGTGAATGACAGCTTTCCCATATGTTTGTCTCTCTCCTGAATAGGCTTATAATTCAGTAGCCAGAGCATTCCCTCGAAGGTTTGTTTTGCCTTTAGATGTGAGTTTGAATGCCCAGGAGGGACAGAACCTCAGCCCTTTGTCCTACTCTTCAGCAAGTGCTGTGAAACAGGCGGATGGAAAGGTACGCTATCATGCACTTTAGACAAAGACTTTGCCCTTCAGCGGTGTTCTCCACAGGGTTTGCTGCCCAGCTGAGCAGGGTAAGGTCTTGGAATATTGTTTCTACAAGAACCACATCATTCTGGGTGAGAATGAGCACTGTATTTATTTATCCTTTATGTGTTCTGCGACAGATACTTGGAACTCAAATTGTTGTTGAGTATTTAAGCATTTGAGATTGGTATGTGCTGTGCCAACTGTTTTTGAAGACTTGTTCTTACAGGCAGATCATTTATAGCTATTGCTTAGTTTTAGCAGAATAAATAGCCCTCTTCCACTTCCAGTGCCATTTGAAAACTTAGAAAACTCGATAATCTTTTATGTATGGATACATGATAGAAAAAGCTATATAAAAATGACACAGAACCTCAGTTTCCAAGCTCTGTCACAGACTCTAGGGTATCAGCCCCCAGGCCCTCAGCTCCCTCACTGATCTATATTGAAGAAAATAAGTGAGAATAAGCAACCACTGTACATCCTTTTGGTCTCTTTTAGATTTGGTGTTCTTATGAAAATCTGCACACTGAGGATCTAGAGGCAGAAGGTGGTGTTGAATTTCCCCAGATTAACTATAGCCAATTCAATGGCCAAAAGTATCGTTTCTTCTATGGCTGTGGTTTTCGGCATTTGGTGGGGGATTCGCTTATCAAGGTCGACGTGGTGAACAAGACACTGATGGTATGAATATCTCTTTCCTTTCCTGAACTTTTATAAGACCCTGTTTTACCCTTTGAATGAGTTTGTTTTGCTTAAGGTAGCTCTTTAGATCTTTAATATTTAAGTAGCACAGCTATTTACTTTTATTAAGGTAGAGAACATGGAATCACTGAGTTAGGGGTATGTGTCCTCTAGGAAAGCTAAATGAATCACTAGTATGGAAAAATAATTCTGTGCTTGATGTTATTTTGAAGGTCTTGGGTTTAAGGTTGTTAGAACACCTTTATTTTAGGCTGATGGGAAATGATAACTACACAGATTGTGTTTGATGACAGTGGAATCTGGAACTACAGTAACTCCCTCTTTTTCCTGTATTCAGCTCAGTAAGACTGATTCTGTTACTATTGGGAGTATTATGTTCACAGCCAGATTCCGTGGAGAGTGATAAAAGCTATATAGGCTTCTAGCTCATACTAGTCTTTAATCAGATACTTTTTTGGGTACTTACAGATTTGGAGAAAAGATGGCTTTTATCCTTCAGAACCTGTATTTGTTCCAGTACCTGGAGCTAATGAAGAAGATGGTGGGGTTATTCTTTCTGTGGTGATCACACCCAACAAGGTAAAGTATTCCCATCACCAATCAGAAAGAAAAGCAGTGTGCTCAATCATTGAGGGCTGTATTTTAATGATGTGATAGTTTATTCTGATTTCATTAGGGCACTTCTCCATTCTCTTCTAATAATTACATATACCATTTTATGTAGTCTGTACTTTATTTTTAACTAGTCCATACTTTATTATTGTTTTAAAGTTCTATTTGTAGAACTGGAGTAATAATTTACATAGGAATTTGCTTACAAATGGCTTTCATGTATACTAAACACTTTCTTGTTTAGTCATCAAAACTTTGTAGGGCACCATTTTACACATGCCAAATTTATAACTTAAAAGAAGTTGAAAGAGATTCATATCAGCTCTCGTAGTAGTAAAGCTAATATATAATTTCAGTCCTCCAACTTTTATCCTAATATTCATACTACCTAATCTGCCCTGGCAATTTCATTTGAGTGACCCAAAAGTCTAGTGTGGTAAGTAAGCCTTGTCCCAGTGTCTCAATAATGTTGATATCTGACTTCTCATAAAGAGCAACCTCTGACAAATAGTGAAGTCCACTTTGAGTACTGGGGTTGAAAAATTATTTATGGCTGCCTCAGGTGTAAGATTCTCAGGTTGTTAAATGAGGAAACTGCTGTGATCAATCAGTGATGTCTGCTGTGGCCTTAGATGGACTTAGTCCTCATGCCATTCTCTTGCCAGCTCTATAATTAGACCAGGGCAAATCTCTGTCTGCTTGACAATGCTACTCAAAGTAACACCAAATGAAGACTTCTGTAATTTGTAAGAAAAAGTATGCCTCTTAGAACATTGAAAAACATCAAGGAAAATGATCCTTAAACTCAGAGCCTATGAAGCCACTGATATAAACAACTTAATTTATTTTCTCTATTTATGTTCTCTATTTACGAGCCTCGTTAGTCATGATTTCCTATTCACTCCAGATGAACAATTCAGCAAACCTTTAATAATGGGGTAGACAAGACACTGTTAGGTGCTCTATGAAGATGAATAAAGATGTGGTCTTCCCCTTAGGAATTTTGCAACGGAGGAGATTAAACAGATTTTAAAAATGAAAAAAGAGAGATAATTTTTCAGTTTTGTGTTTATTTTCCTTTCCTTTTTATTCTTCTAGAATGAAAGTAATTTTCTTCTCGTCTTGGATGCTAAGAACTTTGAAGAACTGGGGCGAGCAGAGGTACCAGTGCAAATGCCATATGGGTTCCATGGCACCTTCATAACAATCTGATGGGACAATCACAAGGTCTGGGAACTAGGTTTAAAATGAACATGCTTTCTACAAAACAGCGAGCAAAAAGAGCACTTTGCCTTATACACCACAGACTTCTGTTTTTAAAATTCTTATTAAAAAGAATTTATAATCTAGTTATGGTTTTACAGCTTCTTAGGGATCTTTCTTGAAAATATAATAAGCAGTTGTTAATACAACCTTTGAAGAGAGTTTAATTAAATATATATTTACTGGAGGTATCGTCCTCTAGGTAATAAGAGTACTTGAAGGAAAAACTAAAAGTGGGTCATTGTTACCATGAAATAGGTGGGTGACACAGATCCTCAAAGTCGGTAAAGAAATAAAAATTATCATAGATAGTAGAATAAGAATATAGATGTGAAAAGGCATCTGGTTTTGTAAAACATCATAATCTCCTGTTAGCTTTGGCCTGAAGTTCCTCACAGAGGCTAGGAATTCAGCTGTGTCACCTTGGAGGCTGCTTCTGAGCTGATTATTTCTCTACTTTCACAGTAGTTGCCAGTGCAGGCATACAACCTTCCTTTGAACCATCCTGCAACCTCCCCCCAGCTTAGTCTTCGGAGGCTATTTTTTTTTGACGGACATCCTTAAAATTAGCCATTTCTTCTAATCTCCAGGTGTAGAGTTCGCTAGGGATTGATGGATAGTCAGTAGTCCTTCATTTAGCTGGGCAACAGGTGGCACTAGAGACCATATAATCTTCACATTTCTAAATCCCACCAGGTTTCAAAAGCCTTGGGGGGTCACTCTTAGACAGCCTTCTAGCGGACCCCCTCAAAGGCATATTTTCTTTTTCTTCAGCTGAATCCCCTCTCTGTGCTGAACTTCCAACTCTGGGTCAGTTAAACTTCCACATTCCTTTTGCATATTGAATGTTGCTAAGAATGCTCTCCCCCAAAAATATAATTTTGGGCAACTCTGTACTTATAATTAGGGTCAATGAATAATCTGGACTAGGATAGTCAGCTTCTCAATTTTTCTTTAGTGTTTATAAAGAATGACAGACTATCTTCATTAGTGTTTATACATTCAAAAGCCACCTCTAGGAGTGCCTTGGTAAGACACACGACAACAGTAACAGGAACAGAATGGCTAGAAGATACCTAAGCATAACTAATGGGAGCTTAGAGGCTCAGGCAACCAACCAAAAGCACTCAAGTTTCCTGTTATTTCATAGAAGTCTTTGAAGAACATCATATTCCCCCAAATAGATATGTAAGTGTGAGCTAGATTTTAACTAGATCTGAAGGGTAAAGACTGATGGATGAAGACATCTGGGAAGTAGATCTAATCATGACTTTCCTCTGTGAACCTTTATCCAAATGGGGGGAGGGTGAGGTTTAAACATGTTTAATCATAAGCTTTTGATCCAAGAAAGTCTGAATTATGCCTTGGCCCTGCTATCTGTAAGGTTCTATAAGGAGAAAACAGAAGGATCAGTGACATTGCATAATTTAGGCCTAGCAAACCTCATGCAGCAAGTTCTGATGGAGTGAGGCTGAAAAGCTAGTGAGTACCTTTTCCTTTCTCTAAACTCATTTCTTGCCACTGGCTAGTATCCAGGGACTTAAGAAAAGGGAGTAAGTGGGGAACAGAGGAGGGGAAAAGGAATTAGGGGCCAGCCCCATGACCTTACCTAATTAACATCTACAATAATTCTGTTTCCAAATTAAATCATCTTCTGAGTACTGGTAGTTAGACTTCAGCATATGAATTTGGAAAAGACAGTTTAATTCTTAACAGGATTTCTGAGTATAAATTTGATAAATTAGAACCAGAACTATGAAAATATTTTACTAAAACAAAACAATTTCTCAGAAATCCATTCTCTTTAACCTTTTATTTTTAATTCTTAAAACTGTTCAGAATGAATAAAACATTTCAGTAACAAATACTGTTAAAACGTATTTAGTTTCAGATGTAGACAGGGCCTGAGAATTACTGTCTATATCATGAATGATTTTAGATAAATAGTTCACTTTTCTAGGACTGGGTTTTCATATCAGTAATAGAGAACTAGATATTATTTATCTATTTAAAAAATTTATGATGTTTATAATTCTTTACAGTTTTTTCTTTTAAGTCTAATGGGAGGAGATGAGAAAAGTTCTTGAAAATATGTGAAAGAGTGCTTACTACGTAATATATCAGTAACTTAATGCAGAATAAACAGAATATATATCTGGAGACAGGAAACACTTCAGAGAAATTACCATCAGGCTTACAGTTCCTCAATCCCATGACTTTACCTATCCTTACAAATGCCTGTATTAGTGCCAACCACATAGTAGATATTCAGTATATATTTAATGAAACAATGAGGAAACAGAAGGTGAGGATACTGGGAACTCCGAGTACTTTGGACACCCCTTTTGAGAGAGAGGAAGCAAGTTCCTTTCATTGTGGAGGTGTCTGCAGTACAGAGATATGTTAATGTTTGTGTTCCTGGGTGTATGTGTTTACATTGTGCCACCTGAGAGCCATAAATGGGTCCATGCATGTGAGTGGATGATAAAGACAGCTTGAGAATTTTCCTTGGTAAAAATCTTTACAAACAGTGCAAAGGTAATGTCTCCGAAAGCCACATGAACCTACATATGTCCTGAAATTCCAGGTCCCTCTCTGTAGACTATACTTACACATAATATATACTTTAATGCAGAATAAATTCAGAATAACTAGTCAATTCAAAGTGACTACGGACAAGAAGTTTCCACTCTACCCAGCCTAGGGCTCCCGAGAAGAGAATGAGAGGGAAGACTCAAAGTGTGAATTTAACTGTTTGAAGTGGGGCTGAACAGACACTAAGTCCCAGCTCAGACTATCAGATGGCTCCAGGCTTAAGCCTCCCCAGCAGTCTGAACTCACACTTCTGGGTGAGGAACGCCGTTCCTTCCTGCCTCCACCCCTAGGGGGAGCCCAGCCGCTGAGTGAAGCGCCCGCTGCTGAGCGCGCAGCTCGCACTGCGCAGCCGTGTGGGGGCCCCGCCCACAGCCCAACGCGCCGCGGGGGTCGTGCGGCCGCTGCTGCGGGTCGGCGGAGCGGGGAGGATGAACTCTGAGGCCTCAGGAGGGCGCCGCTGGGCGCGAGTGTCCCGTGTCGTCTCCTTTAGCGCGACTCACCGACTCCACAGGTGGGGGTGCCCACTGTGGCGAGGTGGCGCGGGACCGTGGCGCCAGGCCCCGAGAGGGAGCAGCGGGGGTGAGGGCCGGCCCCGGCAGCCAGGCCGCGC